CTGTGAGCTGACGCCATGGCACTCTAACCCGGGCAACAGAGTGAGACTCTGTCCCAAAAAAAAAAAAAAAAAAAAAGAAAAAGAAAAGAGCTTGTTTGAAGCTGGAGTTAGTGAGCAAGGGAGAGACAGGTAGATGTTACCAAAAAGTTGGCAATATCAGTAGACCATGATCAAGAGTTTAGATTTTTATATTAAGTTTCATAGGAAGCCACTGGAAATTTTTAAATAGGTCTGTGACATCCTCCTGGCAGTCACTGAAGAGGCCCAGGGGCTTCTCCGAGAATTGGGAATGAGGCAAGCCATCTATGCTCAGGTTTTCATGAGACCTGATAAAGCAGTTTTTACTGACAGGATGAAAAATAAATTACTACAGCATGCACCAAGAGAATGGCATGACCCTTTCCTGTCTTTGTTGAGTCCTATAGTGGGACAAGAGGTATATGGTATGGGAGGAGCCATCGCAGACTTGGGAGAAACCACCAAGAAAGCCAGGGACAGGGTATGCTCGGTAACCCAACAAGGGCTAATGAAGGGGAAAAAGGAAACCCCATAGAAAGAAGGGAAAGGGACTGATGAGAGTCACACGTAAGCAAATGTGGCATGGTTTATTGGAAGCTGGAACACCCTGAGAAAAAACAGAAAAACAACAGAATGGTATACTAGTAGCCTTATAGAGGGAACTACAGCCTGAACAGCAGTTTCTTCCCTTCCCTTCTGCCTCTCCAGCAGAAGAGGAAGACAAGTTGACTCCTCATTCCAATGCCCTGTCCCCAAGACTAGGAGTGGGGCCAAGGTTGTCCCCATGTTCAGCAATAGGAAGCAACCAGAGGCCCCATATTAAATTATTGCCTTAGTAGATACTGGGGTAGAACAAACTTTAATGCATGGAAATCCAGAAAGACACCTTTGTCAATGGGCTGCCATTGATGGTTATGGGGGACAAACGATCTGGGTAAAAAGGACTTTGATACATTGAGGTATTGGAAAAGCTCCCCCTGACCCATATATGGTGTTTATTTCTCCTATTCCAGAAAACAGTTTAGGCATGGATATCATGTTAGGAAAGACTTTGCAAACTTCAGTGGGAGAATTCTTACTGAAGGTGCATGTAGCAAAGGCTGTTCTCAGGGGAGAAGCAAAATGGGAACCCCTACAACTCCCTGTCCCTAGACAGGTTGTCAACATTTACAACACAAATTGCCTGAAGGGGCATGCTCAAATAAGTGCAACTACTGAGGAACTGGCAAAGGTGTATATTATCCACCTAGCTCTAAGCCCATTTAATCAAATCAAACCAAAACCACAATGAGATATCACTTATCTCCAGTCCATTTAATAGTCCCATTTAATAGTCCCACCAGTCCATTTAATAGTCCCACCTGGCCTGTAGGCAAACTAGACCATACCTAGGGGATGACTGTGGATTAACAGGAATTGTACAAGGTAACCATGCCATACATGCTGCAGTCGACCACATAGCGTCTACACTGGGGACACATCATGCTTAGATTTGGTTAATGCCTTTTTCAGCATTCCTCTCTCAACACAATCACAAGACAAATTTGCTTTTACGTG